TAATATTGATCCTATATACTTCATTAATACGCTATACTGTTCTTATTGTGCACAATACATCAGTCAACATTTTGGATATGTTACTGTTACAGTGTGGTAGCCAACACACATGAAGAAGACTTGGAAAATCAAACAAAGATCTGTATTTAAATAATCGCTGGAGACTAAATAGAAACACAGGGAAACCACCAACCACACTAAATGTAAACGAGAACCAACCAAAACACTCAGTTCTACAAGAAATACAAACATAAACCTATAACATATAGTAAAACCTGATAGTAAAATTTGATTTGATTACGGTTTATTCCTGATAGATAACATCAAGTCTTTAGGGTTTTTTTTTATTATTGTTGAATATCCTGTTTCAATCAGAAATGAATCTTATTAAAGGGAAAGTTCACCTAATAAAGTGACCTTGGTTCATCTTTCGGAACACAAATTAAGAATTTTTTTCTCACATTTTTTGTCCATTCCTGGATAGTCCACTTTTTGATGCATGAAAGTTTTGGTTGTGTGGACTTTCAATGGATAGACAAAAATTGTGAGACAAATATCTTTATTTGTGTTCTGAAGATGAACAAACGTCTACTGGGTTTGGAACAACATGACAGTATTCTGATTTCTGGGCGAACTATCCCTTTAGGGAAATGGTTCCGAACTGCATTTCATGTTGACTTTAACTGCAAGTCCTTATGTAAATCTGTTGATCATCTAGCTGACTTTGAAATAAAGCTAAAGTTGCAGGTACCTGAGCATGTGAAATGAATGAACTTTAGACTGAAGCGCTGTCCACAAACACATTCAATGACTTCTGTTGGTAATTCAATTCTGGGGCCGTAATGGAACTCTGTGAAGTGTGTCAGAGCTATGTGTTCACAACATCCAATCTGCAGAGATAAGGGAAGAGCAGCTATAGCTTTGACTGAGCCAGGGGAAACCCACACAGGGTTCATCTGATCGGCGTTATCAAAACCTGCTCCAACGTGGAGAACATCTCTCGTCTCCGGCTGACTTCTTGAGTTTGTTTCATTGTCTTCTTCCAAGGTCTCCCTTGATGCTCTTTAGTTCTTATTGGCACAGCCCAGATGATTTTATCGCTCAAAGTGCTTTTTCATAACTCAAGAGACTTGGTGTTCTCAGTTAAGTGTCTACTTCCTCGGATATATTTTTTAGACATTCAAACTAGGCAGAAATGAGACAATTGTTGTATACAGTCAAATCTCTAATTTGACTGCATGCAGATATCTGTATTTCTTTTCAGAAAAGATATCTCTTTGAGATCTTTTCAGTAAAAATTTAGAGACAGAAGCTTGTTTCCGACTACAGAATAAAAAATAAAAAGGTAATTGCTGCTTTTTATCTCACAATTCTGATTTTATTTCTCATAATTGCATGTTTATCTCACAATTCTGGGAAAAAGGAATTGAGTTACAGTATAAACTCAGAATAGAAAGATTTAAACTCTCAATTCTGAGGAAAACAGTCCGAATTTTGAAAGAATAAACTCACAATAGCAAGAAAACTTCAGAATCTCACAATTCTGACTTTTTTCATGTTATTGCGAGTTTATATCATACAACTCAGAGAAAAAAAAAACAGAACTGCAGCCATGAGATTAGGGTTTTTTTCTAAGCAGAAAAGTTTGAGAAGCAGGATACATATCATTAGTCTCCGACTGCTCTCCATTTAATCTTGTTATTGTCTAGGACAAGCAATATAGAGAAAATAAGACATGATTTTTTTCTTGCATGGGAGTCTCCTGGTTATGTAAATAATTACTAACAATCAGGAGTGTGTGTATATCTATGTGAATCCATAAAGGCTGAGGTTTGTTTAGGACGCATTAGGTTGATTTTAGTGAACTGACCATAGAAACTGCAGTAACAGCTTGATCAAACTCCCGTGCAGCTCTCTTGAGTGAAAACATAAATTCTCATTTCTTCTTCCCAGAGTATTTTTTGGAAACCCCCGGGCCGGCACGAATTTATGCTGTACATATTCCTGTTAAATGAAGAAATCTCAGAGCAATTGTTGGCTCTGTGCACCAGGGTTTTCTATGTTAAAATCGTAAAACAGCAGGGTTCTCACTGACATTACGAGAAATGTCCACCAAATGTATATTAAGCCAGGAGGGGGGGATTGCAATGATACGACTTTAATGTGCAGCTCTGTTTCTCATTTGCATCAATCAACATGTAACCACAAAGCTATTTATAACAGAGGTTCTCAACTTCAGTTGTATAAATCAATAGGCAATACCACTAATGTAACACCCAGCTAAAAGGGTGGAAGGTGTTGCTAACGTTCCCATTAAGTTGTAAAAACATTACTTTTGAATGTTCTATGAACATTCTATTATGTCCCTTTTTACAAGATATAATATAAGTCTTAGGTGTCCCCAGAATGTGTCTGTCAAGTTTCAGCTCAATATACCCCGCAGATAATTTATTCCTAAAATGCCCCTTTTTGGGTGGAAGCAAAAACAAGCTGTTTTTGTGTGTGTATCTTTAAATGCAAATGAGCTGCTTCTCCCCGCCCCCCTATCCAGAAGTGGGTTGTGCCTTAGGTGCGTTCATGCCATGTCGCAATTACCGTAATTACAAGATTCCAACTTGTGAAAACCACGTCCTAATAGAACTCGTAATTACAACTTGTAACCTGGGAATTTTCTGAGAGTTGGTACCACATTACTGCTGTACCACCTGACTGCTGATGATGCCGCGTTCCAGGCAACCTGTAGGCTAACCCCTGTTTTTCCAACCTTATACCTGTGAAAGTGCACTGGAACTGCAGTCAAACCCGTGACTTCCCACCCGTGAACTCGTACTAGATCGATGTACTCCCAGTTATGAGCTCTGATGTCACATAGCCCGCGAAACCATACAAAACAACTCAGGTAGTTTGGCGTGACTGGCCTGGAAAGCTGAGTCGTGGTTTGAAGTCGTGATTTACGTGCTCAAAAACCTGCCTGGAACGCAGCATAATTTAGGTTGTTGATAGTGTTGCATAAAAATGCATAATTTCCAATCCAATAGAACGTCACCTGTTGTCATCTCAAAATTACGGTAATTACGGCATGTCATGTGGCGTGAACGCAGCTCATGCTCCAGCAACAAAACAGGAGAAACAGTATGGGGCCCTTTCCACAGAACGCGTTTTTGCATTCCACTGCACTGCTTTTCCATTATTTTTTATGTAAACACACGCTACGGACCTTGCCTTTTTGTCCCATTCGGGGCCATTCACACACACAGCACATCTTTGGATTTGAAACACGAGACGCAGGCAGTGGAAAACGCGTCGAGATGCGTTAAGCGCTGTGTTTTTAGAATGTCGTTTCCTGCGCGAAACGCTGTAAAGATGCAAGTTGAAATATTTACGATTATATGCTGCTAAAAAAAAAAAAAAAAGTGGTGTTGGAATTCATAGCCATTTTTTAATGTCCCTCAATGAAGAAATAAGATCAAAATTGGACCAAAAAGGACCAAATGTAATTACATGTAAAGGTCAGACGAATCATTTTGCAGCACCATTGAAGGGCCTTTCCCGAACAAAGGCAATATTGTTTCATGATGGATTTCTTTTTTTCATTGAACTCTCCAGCTCTATATGCTACATGGACCGTTTTCCTGTGGAAAAGATTTCCCTCTCCTGGAAAGCACTATTGTTATTAGTCACGAAGATCATCAATGCTGCTGTTGGCATGGGAGCAGTCAGAAGCATGAAATGTTTCAGCCGTAATATTTTCTCATAATTGTATCACATTATAAATATATTATCGTGTATAGTGAATATGCAGACGGGAGCTGATATGCTCATACAGCATGACAGTGCTTTGCATGTATAAAAGAACTTGACAATATTTGTCTCTGTGGTAAAAACGTGATGCACGTAACTGACATACAGATGCGATAATGATAACCAATTATCATTGAACCCCAGCTGCACACAGACTTTGCTCATGAAATATCAATCACAAGGGCAATTCTATTCTATTATAGCAATAGCCATGCCTATCAGACACATCATTAAAATGCACAGCTCACAGTGACGGGGCATTAACAGCAATATAATAACTTTAAAAGTAGGCAACCCGATCGACAGTTGTTTTCTATTGGCGAGAAAAGTCAGTTTACTGACGAATTACCAGAGTTGTGTGGTCATGGAATAGATCAGTGTTTAATAGCATGAATAAATATTTAATATTTCGTTTTCTGAACAAACTTAGATGTAAGACTCACTAGAACATTGACAGCTATTAACAGACCCAAATGCATTTAATACACTTCACAACGAGTGAAAGAAGGGAAATAGAGTTCCGCACTAACTGAACTGAAATAAAGGACCTAACACACTTTGATAGCTGGATGGTGGCCTCTTGTGGTCACACAAAGACATGCATTATTTTCTCTCTCTTCCAAAGGGATAGTGTAGTAGGCCTACAATAATTGAATCCTGTCATAATTTACTGAAGAATGTTGACATTGTTCTTTCCGATAGATAGATAGATAGATAGATAGATAGATAGATAGATAGATAGATAGATAGATAGATAGATAGATAGATAGATAGATAGATAGATAGATAGATAGATAGATAGATAGATAGATAGATAGATAGATAGATAGATAGATAGATAGATAGATAGATAGATAGATAGATAGATAGATGATAGATAGATAGATAGATAGATAGATAGATAGATAGATAGATAGATAGATAGATAGATAGATATAGATAGATAGATAGATAGATAGATAGATAGATATAGATAGATAGATAGATAGATAGATAGATAGATAGATAGATAGATAGATAGATAGATAGATAGATAGATAGATAGATAGATAGATAGATAGATAGATAGATAATACACTCTGTAGCGTGTCTGCACTAAAGATTATTGTGCGATCTGAAAGTGTGTGCAGAACTGCTTTTTAAACACACCCTCTCTTCCAACATGTTTGTGCCTGTCATCTTCACTTCAGTCACTCGCTAGTTCACCTTAGTTTTGTCTTACCATAGTCAGTAGAGGAGTCATAACCAGCAGCATACAGTACATTATACTGCAGATCTGCACAATGAGAGACAACAACTGTAAAGAATGCATAGACAAAATCCTTCAAGAGGCTCCGACGGCAAGAAAAGCTCTTCTAGACAACCACAGCAACCTGCACAGAGTGGCCGATTACTGCCAGAACAAATACCTCAACGTGAGATATTGATTTCATTGTTTTTCTATAGCCTACATCAAATTTGCATTAATAAGATTTGATTTGTTATATATATATATATATATATATATATATATATATATATATATATATATATATATATATATATATATATATATATATATATATATATATATAAATTCTCATAAATAGAGTATTTTAGAGATTTTATTTGATATTATCTGATCTTACATTAGGCCTAAAAAAATATATATTATGTACTGATTTAAAAATGCTGTACGACATTGTAATATTTACACTCACTGATAAGTAGTCTAGTATTTTTTTAATAACTGGATTTTATTAGCCTACATTTGCTAAATATAAGAGTATCTCACTAAAAGTGGAATTAATTTCAAAGCTCCATTGCTATTAATTATTCACATGGATTACTGAAAACACCTTTCTTAAGTCTGGACTCTTTTGGAGTCTTCAGCTTCGTGCTGTTTGTGCCGAGGGCATACATGCCTAAACAAGGCTGTGGTATGTATTCCTAGAACTCCATGAAAACTGTTCTTAACATGTTTATCTAGCAATCCATATCTGTATCCTGGAGGTCTGTTATATTGAAAGCAATCATTTTGCAAATGCCTTTCATCATTTGCAGGTCTTTAATAATAAGAATAATATTTAATAATGGTAGGCTAACACTTCATTTTGATGGTCTCTTTTGAACATTCTGTTGACTGTAAGTGACTCTGCAACTACATGCCAACTAACTCTCTTTAGAGTAGTAGTAGACTGTCTGTTTCAGTTCTGCTAACTCTTTATTGTCATCCGAAGAACTCATTCTACTGAATATAAGTAACTTTGAAAGTACGTCAACTTATTCTAACCCTAACTCTTCCAGTCTACTAATAATCTGCTAGTGCTAACACTCTAATGAATGCGAGTTAGTAGACATGTAGGTGCAATGTTGAAGGGACCATCAAAATGAAGAGAACCCGTAATATTATATTGAAAGACTGCTCATGTTATAATCACTAAAATGCTGTCATTCACCTCAGTTCATCACGATCTCACAAAGGTCCGTTATAATCAGTGATGTTTACACTGCACAATGAATCTCTTACTTGCATTGAGTCTACACTTTGTAAATGAGATTGACCGTTGCGGTCAAGAGGTCATCAAACATGTCTGTGATTGGCTACATTCCTCACCTCTGCAAAAACACATTGTAAATAGAAACATTTGATGTTCTCCAGAGCGCAAAGTTTCCGCAAACACAAATACGCACTAGAGTGTTTGCCGAACCTGTTTTGTCATTATGATATTATTACAGTATCAACTGAGCATGATCCATATAAATGCAGCCTTGGTGAGCATAAAAGACTTACAGAAAATATTACACTTTGAACAGTATAGTGCATATTTATTATATTTATTTAGACATACCTATGTGTCTGCAAAGGTAGCATTTTTCAGACACAACACAACACTTTTCTGTAATATTCATTCAAACTATAAATTTAAGTCCTTGATTACATGTTTCAGATGTCTGGAGTTCTTTCAATCTGCTGTTATTCATCATTTAAAAAAAACAAAAAAAACATGGAAGAGTCTGAATAGGCCTATTGAAAATGATTATTTACCTTTAGGTGGAGGACACCAAAAGTGTCATTGAAGAGTCCAAAGCTCTCACCGCACAGGCTCTGGCCAGTGTCTCGTACCAGATCAACAATCTGGCCACATCTGTGCTGAAGATTTTAGATGTGCAGACGGTTCAGCTCAAACAGATGGAGTCCTCCGTCAACATGCTGACTCTGGTGAGCTCCTGTTATCACTCAACGGAAAGCACCAGAATATCATGAAATACAATGCCAGTTATTACTAAGGGCAAGTTAGCACAATGCTAGAAATATGAAACACTATTGCTCCTGGTTACATGAATAATAATCTTGTCAAAGTTGCATATGGCAAAAATAGCCTCTTAATGTCAGTGTTCACATTCAGACAGTTGGCATGTACAAGGAGAAAATTGCCCGGAGAGAGATCGGAGTGCTGGCCAAACAGTCAAAAGTTCCCCGGACTCAGAAGTCGGTTCCCCCAGCAGGAGGACGGGAGCCGTTTCGTGTGTACAGACGTGTTCCCATATCCTACACCCTCCTGGACAAACTGGGCCACAGCCACTGGGAAGCCAGCAACAATGTGAGCAAATATATATCCAAACATAATACTTTTTACATGGCTGGTTTTTTACTTCTGATTGAATTAAAAGAAAATTTAGACATGTTTTAATGTAATAAATTAAATAATATAAATAATATGTGATCTAATGTATGGATCAGGACTCAGGCCTAAAATATGTAGGATTCTGTTGTCTATATAATAGTAGGTTATATACTAACGTTCAATAGATTGGGATATGTAAGTTTTTTTCTTTGAAATAAATGAATACTTGTATTCATCAACAGTGCGTTTAATTGATCAAAAATGACACTAAAGACATTTACATGTTTGCAAAAAACCTGTTTAAGAAAAAAAAAAAGTTCATTTGCACTTCTTATTCATCAAACAATTGAGGGGACGAAATGTAGCAAAATTTCCACAAAAGTTTCAACAATGAAAATCAGAAAAGCAGCAAATCATCATATTAGAGTGATTTCTGAAGGATCATGTGACACTGAAGACTGGAGTAATGATGCTGAAAATTCAGCTTTGCATCACATTTTAAAATATATTCAAATAAAAAAACAGGTTTTTTTAGGTGTAATAATATTTCACAATATTACTGCCTTTACTGTATCAAATAGTGTAAATGCAGCCTTGGTCAGCATAAGAGACTTCTTTCAGTAACGTTACAGAAAACATTTGAAAGGTGGTGTATGTAATATATTGTATTTATTGATATAATGTATTTTTTAAATAATAATATTTCAACATATAGGCTAGCATGTGAATGACGTACTTGCCTCTTAAAAAAGGGGTTTTAACTGCATTTTTAATCTTTTTTTTTTTTTAAGAGTCATAAATTCATTGGAATCAAAATAAGTAGAAACCAAACTATTTGGGAATGTACTTACACTTTTTATGTTTTTCATTATTAATTATAAGGTTACTCTATTGTATTTTGTAATGGAATTTAAAATATTTTAATATTTTATTAAATCATTTGCGCAGCATTTTTAAAACCCCTTTTGATGAATTGATTTATTTATTTCAAATTATTATCTGTGTCATCGAAGGAAGAGCCAAAATCAGAAACCGACAATGAGGACTCTTTAAAACAACTTGGCACACAGGAGACCAGCACCTTCAACTGGTATGTAATACAATGGCTTTTACTGATTTGGTTACAAATGTTTTCAATGAACTCAGTTTTTTCCATTGTCTTCAGAAATCTGATGTATTTGCTGTGGTTTCAGGTCTTTCTTGGGTATCGCAGTTCCTCCTCCATCAGTGCCTGACTGGGTGGGTTCTAGTTTCACAGCCTCTCCTGGTCTCTCTCCAGCTTCACCGTCTCCTTCACTCAAGTCTGACCGCTCCCCGTCTACACCTCCATATGCCTATCCCGACCTGTCCATGCTGCCTCCTCCACCTCTCCTAGATGATGAGATGGGAGATGCTCCACCCCCACCCCCTCCTCCCTCTCCACCTCCACCTAATTCTGAGTATGGAGGATCTTTGCTTCCTCCTCCACCACCTCCACCTGGCCAAAATACCTCAATGACATCAGCCAATCCTCCACCACCACCTCCTCCTCCCCCAGATAACATGGCTGGTCCACCTCCTCCTCCACCACCACCTCCTCTCAGCAACGTGCCTCCTCCACCTCCTCTTCAGGGCAAGACAGCTGTTCCTCCTCCTCCTAGCTCTGCCTACAGTGGATCTTCTATACCCCCACCACCACCACCTCCACCTCCCCAAAATGCCTCCATGCCACCACCGCCTCCTCCTCCTCCTAATACTGGAGGAAAATTTGTTCCACCACCTCCTCCTCCACCTCCTCCATTTTGAATGTTAAATTTCAATGTTAAGTTTATGCAAAAGACTACAACATTTGATGGGATCATATTTTTTTATGGCATATTATGATATTTTCTTTATAAATGTTACATGAATAAATGTTATAAACATAAATGTTGATAAAACATTAAATAAAGGCAATGTTGTATAAAGCATATTAAAGTATGTAATTTAAGACTTTTTTTATTCTTTTTATGATATATTTCTAGATTCATTGATATATTTCTACAATATAATTCTACATTTATTTTATTCTGTGATTAAATATGCACACACAAAAAAAAGATACTTAATTTCAAAGCTGCTGTTGTCCATACATGCAACAATTTTATGGAAACAAAAACAAAACAGTCACTGCTCTGAAGGTGGCAGCACCGAGTCTTTACATTATGTCAGCCTATTTGAAACTGAAGTGATGCTATTGGTTCAGTGCAGGAAGAGCATAGCCTGGTTAAAACCAGACCATTCTCAAGCTGTGTCCCAATGTGAAGGCTGCATCCTCCGAAGGCCGCGGACTTCGAAGGATGCAGCCTATTCGTCCTTCGAAGGACGCACCTTGTAGCCTTCATAGGATTTCCTAATTGCGCATCCAGGTGTTCCCGATTACCGCTCCTGGCTATTGTCATTTTTATGTTTTATATTTTACTGAGGATGTTAAATACATGAATTTTCTAAACGACATTTAGGCCACTTGTCTTTAAAGTCAATTTTTTTAGGAGGAAAAAGCTCAGTATAATAGAATAAGCAGAAAAAGACTTCACATATAAAAAAGAAATATAACACAAACACAAGGTTAGGTTATATAAAAATAAAACATTCATAAATTATTTTATGATTCTTACTGTCTTCAGTGAACTCAACGCAAATTATAATAATATTATTATTATTAGCCTACATTTAGGCTACATATTTAGAAGGCGGTTTTATCCAAAAAAGGAACAAAGAAATTCGTCAAATGTCAGTCATAATACAGGGCTAAGATTATCACAAATAAACACAAGATTTTGACGCAAATGTGTGTGGGAGTGTGAGCGCGCACTGCATGACATGGAGGCGCGGCCGCGAACACTTGCATTTTCCCATCAACAGTGGAAACAACTTAAAAAATACTCTATCATTTCTGGTCATACAGAAAAGAATAATACATCATTCGCAACTACTTTTATTTGTCCAAACTCACATAACAAGAAAACGTTGTGCTTTTGTAAAATAAAATAAAACAATCAGTCGCGCTTTCATGATCTCCGTGAACTGGAGCGCGTCTCATAAATGAACTGAAACAAAATATACCTAGCCTAAAGCTTGAAATGTTCACTTTTAAACGAACAATTAAAATGTCTCGTTATTTATTCAGACACATGTATTATCATTAGCCTATAAATCATGGTTCCAGAGGCTCTTCTCATTCAGCATTGCGGGAAAAATATAATTTCCAGGTTCTAACCTGGCCTTAGAAAACCAGTAAAATCGACATTTGTCCCATAGTAATTTGTGAATATTTTAAATGTTTAATAAAGGGGCAAAAAGTCCTTCTTTTTTTTTTTTCGCAGCATTTGTGTAGCCTACTACAGTTCAAATTTTGGTGTTCAACTTTGGCTTTTGTACAGAAGTACAATATAATTTGTGTATTATTAACATGTTACTTTAAATGTGCTGGGCTCTTTAAGAACGCCGGTCCCCCCCCCTGAATATGATTCAACTATCACTAAACTATCTTTAGTTTAATAGTCTGTGTAAATTTGCATCCATTCGTTTTTAATTTTTTTAACCCGTAATTGAAAAACGAAAAATGAACGGTTTTAAAAGGCATAGTTGAACACCAACATTTGAATTTGAACTGTAGGCTACACACCAAATGCTGCACCAAAAATGCTGTCGTCACCGGCGCGCAATGAATTATGGGGTAGGATCAGGGTAGGATAGGCCGCTAAGTGTCCATTTATGTATCCTTCCTTTCACGGGGAAACGAAGGGTGCATTTGGCGTCGCTTTTGAATCAGGGTAGCCTTCGTCACGCCGTGATGACGCAACCGGCCTTCGAATACGGCCTTCGAAGGATGCGGAATTGAATTGGGACAGCCTTCATCGCGCCGCGGTGACGCAATCGGCCTTCAAATGCGTCCTTCGAAGATGCAGCCTTTGAATTGGGACAGCCTTCGTCACGCCGCTGTGACGCAATCGGCCTTCAAATGCGGCCTTCGGAGGACGCAGCCTTTACATTGGGACCAAGGGGGTAATTCATCGACCGGAAGTTGAAGCCAGCCGGGTGCCGCCATGTTGTAGCAGAACTTCACTTGCGTTAGCATTTCCATTGACTCCCATTCATTTTGGCGTCACTTTGACAGCGAATAACTTTACATCTGAGGCGTTTAAAGACTCCATTTGTCCATTATTTATTTCTAAAGAAACACGACAATGTATAAAGGGCTCCATTACCCTCTATGTTACATTATGGCCCCGTAGAAACAGATTTAGTAAAAATAGGCTAACGATTGCGTCATAACCACTCGACTCTCTGTCGCGCTGTACAGAAATTACCTTACAGACAGCAGGAGAAGCTCGCAGGCAATCGGGGGGACGTCCCGTCAAGGGAGAAGCCCATAGATAATGAGTCCATAAAAGCAACGGAATACTTACTCCTGCTCACTCACACCAAGGAACTCTTTGCTCAAGTTCCCCGTCTCTGCAAGATTAACGTTGGCAATTTTCACGCACAGCTACTAGAAGATTAACGTCTGTCAGACAGGTTGCTCACGTCATCAAGCTTAGTTTGAGTCGGTTTGAGTCTGCGCGTCAGGAACGGAAGTGCTCAAAAATCGCTAAAAATGGGCTTCAACTGTCTCAACTGAGTTCCAATGAGATGGCTCTGTCCACTTCTTATACTGTCTATGATTGGGACACAGCTTATGTTGTAACTGAGTTATGGTCTGGTAAAGCGTCATAGACAAATCATTTCCAGAGGGGCGTCACCAACGGACGTCGCGGATAGACCTAAACCCAATCAGAGCGATGAAGGAGATGACGTATGCAGAGCACAAGCGTGCCGCACAAGCCTTCAAAAGTGAAGCCAAAACGTCTCGATCGCCCCCCGGTGACCGGTCCTAGTATAGGTCATAAGCCCCGCCTCCCCATGTTATTCAACGGGACGTGAGACCAACTAAATAATTAAATTACACTTCACATATCTTTTTTATAAAGATAGTTTCTGTCATTTACTGTAGTTTCTATCACGTTGATGTAATTTCAAGTGTTTGTTTTTAAAATAAGTTAGTTTTTAGTTAGTTATTTGATGCTATAAAAACGGTGCTGTGACATCATGATTGACAGCTGTGATTGACAGCTTCTCTGTGCGAAGTAGTCACTGAAGTACTAACGGACTTTTTTTTATAATGTTGACTATGTGGTTAGTAGTTGTATTTACCTTATTTTAACGAGGTACTGCAATCAGCAGACATCATTGGAGAGGAACGGAGCAGACAAGGCCACTTAAGAAAAGTGCAGGGCGTGTGCTTACGATTGATTCAGCGAGAGTGGGGGTGGGGCCTTGATTTCGCGGCTTTATTTCCTGATCACGACTGCGCATGACTGGTCCGGAAAACGCTACTGCGCAGACTCAAGTTCCAATATGTCAGCGCCATATCGGGACGATGGTGGCTTCAGTTCTCTCCAATGGAAAAGAGCGAAGGGGCGTCGTCCATCTTTTTTTACAGTCTATGGCAGAGCGGCGGAGAATCTCCGAGTGTTGTTCTTTGCTCGAAACGTTCAAATCGCTTTAAACAGACGCGATAGCTGATTCGAACGAGTGATGTTCGACGGCGGCATCTATCTTTGTAATGTAGGCTACAAAATCTGCTTCAAAATCCCAGCGCTGTCGTCATCGTGTAAAGCCCGCCCCAACGTTTCTGATTGGTGCCTCGATTTCGACGGATAGGCCTATTTCACAAAAATGGCCGCCGAGACCGGAAGTAGGGTAAACTATTTTCCGGTGAAAGCCATAGACAGGGTGAAAGCGCTAGCAGTTACAGTCGGAGGACAAATGCGGAGATTAAAAGCGGTTGCTTACCTTTTTATGTTTCAACTCAAAGAAGAAACAACCCTATTGATCACTTCACAGCTTTTCGTGTTTTTGCGGGTTTTCATGGAACAATCGGGGAGAAGTTAAATCACGCCAGACGCGTGTGAAGAAGGAAGCAGATGTTGAAATGGAGTGTTGATGCCGGTTCGGGACTGATGCCCTCCACAAAACATGTTTAAATTGCACTTGATTGTTATCCGATTTGCACGTCATGCACTTTTATTTATTATTATTAACTGTTGGCAAATTAAAATTGTTTGTAGAAGTTGTTTTCTGTAACTTTCTTTCCCTTTTACCTGGGTGCGCTTTGCCAGGCCTGCTGTTTACTTGTGCAAGCAAGGGCAGCTGGGACATTTATTAAACGTATAAAATACTTTCCAAACCGTTACATATAGTCTTATAAATTCAGACGTTTGTGATATAAAAAAATAAACATATTGGAATAATTTTTAAAGTTGTTTGAACACGGAGCAGTTTTTCCCGTGAGTGGGACTGGAAAACCCGGAGTGATCAGGAGCGGAGTGATAATAGAACGCTTCTGTGCAGAGAGGAACGGGCTTTTGCTCCAGTCCAGGCTTTGATCACATCTCCCTAAGCGGGTGATCACCTCGTCCTTCCGACCCATTCGAACTAAAATCAAGACATTTATTACACTATTTGAGAAATAAGCATACTTACGGCCTTAAAATAATGAAAAGGGTAATTTAAGAAACAGGGGGAACCTGATATTAACGGAAGTCCGTCGTAGCGACGGATAACTTTAATCCCTGTATATATTATTTAGTGTATTGAAAATAAAATTACATTATATATTAGTAAATATATACTCACATTTTTAAATATATGAAAATGACTTGTTTCTTTGTAAAAAGTGACTTGACATGTTTCATTCAATATATTGTAATATATTAACACCATATATTATTCTGTATGTTTTCAAATATACCGTACTGTTAAACCATTTCATATATTGATAAT